ACCCAACATGAGTGTTGGAACTCAAACTAGGATCCTCTGCAGACTCAGTACATGCTCCTAACGGCTGAGCACCTCTCTCAAGTCCTGTGACACAGCATGAAGCAGACATCACTGATGTGAGGTTTCCTTATCATGAATATTTCATTTTTTTTGTTTCTTTGTTTGTTTGGTTTGTTCTTTTTTTTCGAGACAGGGTTTCTCTGTGCAATTTTTGTTTCCAGTCCTGGATGTTGCTCTGTAGACCAGGCTGACCTCGAACTCACAGAGATCCACCTGGTTCTGCCTCCCAAATGCTGGGATTAAAGGCGTGTGCTACCACCGCCCTGTGAATGTTTTCTTTCTTTCTTTCTTTCTTTCTTTCTTTCTTTCTTTCTTTCTTTCTTTCTTCCTTTCTTTTTTTTTTTTTTTTTAGAACTGAGGATCGAACCCAGGGCCTTGCGCTTGCTTAGGCAAGCGCTCTACCACTGAGCTAAATCCCCAACCCCGTATATTTCATGTTTAAGGAGCCCAGATTCTCCTTCAATCTTTGTTTGAGCCTCTCTACTCTCCCAGTTTAGCGACCAACGCTTATTTCTTGGTGTCTCGTTCCCACAGCCAGGGAAGACATTGACCTAGAAGATATTTTAGAGGCTTCCCCTCCAGTTTTCTCACAGGAGTGTCTGAGGAGAATTGTGTCTGCTCTTGCAGGGAGGAGGCTGATGTCACTAGCACCCAGGCAGAGGACTTGGCTCTTTTGCCCAGTAGGGTGCGGTGTTGAGAGGGGAACTTCACTTGGCTAGTGGAGAACGCCAGGGAGGAACTGGGCAGTCAGGGGGCTAGGGTTGCTGGGCAGGCAGGACCCATGGAAACGGGGGCGGACTGTGGACCCATGGAAACGGGGGCGGACTGTGGTCAGGAGAGAGGCGGGATGGAGACTCCTCCTCTGCTGAGGACTAGACTCTTGTTCCACGTTCTTATTTTCCTCCAAGGCTTGATTGCCCGCAGGGAGGTAGCCGCTTGCTATTTTTTTTATGCTAGTACCAAATTCAGCAGGGCTTTGGGTTGAACCGTCATTGCAGAATAAACTAGGAGCCTAATCAACACGTGTTCACCTATTTATAACTCTAAAAGATTTTCATTGTATGTTCCTTGAACACTGTACTGGGTTATGTAAACACTTTTTCATGTAAGTGTTATGTTGTACCCTGAACACGTTGCTCCTCATTCCTCACTCTCTTCTCCTTTCTTACCTCCCCTGGGTCCCCTTTGTTCCCCAGATAATTTCACTTCTATGTAATGTCGCATATCCATACATGGTTTCATGGCGATGTATAAAATCTAGAACCATGTGAGAGGAGAAACATGATGTTTATCTTTCTGAGACTGGCTTTATTTGATCCATATGATTCTTTCCAGTTGTATTTCTTTTTCTGAAAACTACGTAGCTTCTTCCTTCTTCTTTATGATGGAATCCTCCCATTGTGTATCCGCCGCACACTTTAAAATCTGTTTTCCTGTTGTTGGACACCTAAGTTGGTTCCATAGCTGTTGTGAACAGTGCTACAGCACATATTGATGCCTGAGTATCTCTGTGATGTGTTGGCTTCAACAGGACAACATAATTCTGTTTTTCAAAGAAGATTGTAGTTCTCTGGAGAATGTTGTTGGGTCCCAGGTCTCTCTGTAATGAGAATTGTGTGGGATGTTTTATGGGTTGACCTGGCTAACGTATGTTAGGTTTTTTTTTTTTTTAATACTGATGATTTTGTAGTTTACAAAATGACCTATTGAGTTTGGAAGCTTGCCTGGGCTGAAAGCCTGAGTACATTTCTAAGAGCACAAATGTGCCTTTGGCCGCTTGGACCACAAAACCTTGCAGCCTCCCCTGTGCGAGTATTGTTGGTGGTCTTCTCTTTGTCCAGCTTGGAGCTCTGCCTGGGTCCTTCATCTGGCCACTTCCCACCTTTCTCCTACAAAAATTACCTTATCACACACACAAAAAGAAGTTGGATTTATATGTATCTGTATTCCAGATCATTTTTCTCCTTGGTCAGGCAGTAGAGGTTGAATTGTGGTTGTCACCCTAGAGAGTCCTACCACGTATACTCATCAAATCGTTGCAGTCAGAATAGAGATTCACCCGTGGATTTCAGTGTCGGAAGTGTCCCGAATGCCCTGTGTTTACTTGTCTGAAATAAGACTGCATGGAAAGAAGAAAATCTCAAATGTCCTTTGCTTTTGGCTGAGATCGCGTAAACTCACCAGTTGTGACATTGGCCATTTGGAGGTGAGGAAGACGTGGTTCCTAGCTCCAGGATTTTCATGTTTAGCAGGGTATGTGGTAAGTGCTCATGCTTGCTGAATTAAGTATTTGAGGAGTTTGCCTGCACTAACTCCATCCTCCATTCACCCAGACCCCCAGTTCACTCACTGGGAAGACTTATCCCTGCTCAAGAGGAGGGAAGTCCAGGCTTACACCTTTGACTTGAGGATTCTGGCAAGGTTTTCTCATCTATCCAGTTCACCAGCCACTGGCTGCCCACAACTTGACAGGAAACTCTCACTTCAATTACATGTTTTGGGGGTTAAAGCACTATTCCCACTTAAGTATAGCTGCGTCTCAGCAGGCAGCAGGGTTGATGAACCCAGAATTGAAAATAAACAGTCAAAAATGCTTCGGGGTGAGGGGGCTGGAAAGATGAATCGGCTGTTAAGAACATTGGCTGCACTTCCAGAGGTCCCAAGTCCAGTTCCCAGCACCCACATAGTGGCTTTTAACCATCTATCACCATAGTCCCAGGGGATCCAATGCCCTTTTCTGATGTACAAATATACATGTAAAACATTCACACACATAAAACACACAAATAGAGAAATAGTTTTTTTAAGTATCAGAAGAAAAGAACCAGTCAAAAATGCATCTAGGGGGCTGGATAGATGGCTCAGTGGTTAAGTGCACACTGTTCTTGCAGAGGACCTGGGTTCAGTTCTCAGCATCCATGTTAGAGATGCTCACAACTGCTTATAACTCCAGCTATCAGGAGACTGGACACCTCTGGCTTCCAAGGGCACTGGCACTCACATGCACCTCTCTCTGCTCACACATACACATATACATACACTTTTTAAAACAATAAAACCCGACCGGGCAGTGGTGGTGCACGCCTTTAATCCCAGCACTCGGGAGGCAGAGCCAGGTGGATCTCTGTGAGTTCGAGGCCAGCCTGGGCTACTAAGCGAGTCCCAGGAAAGGCACAAAGCTACACAGAGAAACCCTGTCTCGAAAAACGAAAAAAAAAAACAAAAAAAAAACAATAAAACCCTTTTTTTAAAGAAATGCATTTAGTGTTCCCAACCAACCGACTTCACAGTTTAGTGACCCTTAGTGAAGATCGTTTTCCCTTGGGACTGACTGCACAGCTAGCTATTAGCTGCAGCTCACTATGGCTGCCCAGCTTCAGAATTGTGTAGCATAGCACCAGTCTGGGGAAAGCTTATGGTTCACTGTGTGGGATATGGTCTCTGAGGAATGCCTATTGTCCTTACGCCATCATCATGTAAATAATTCATAAGTCGCGACATAATAAGCTGGAGACTTTAGTAACATATCAGTTACTAAACAAAAGAGGATGAAGCATTGTACGTGCCAAGTGTGCAAGAATGAGTGTGCACAGAGTGTGCAGTGGCTGCCAAGGGGAGAAGGAGAGAGGCTGTACTTCTCTCCTTACCACCGAAGACAGTTGGTTTCTATCAGGTCGTGTCGTTGGTGCTTTGGGAGCCTGGGAACGTTGGCTTTGAGGATAACGGAAGCCAAGCTACACTGGGCAAAAGCTGGAGAGGAGCGGTGACTCATTTTTGTGCCACGCTGTCAAATCTAGCAGCCACTGGCCACAGGAGGCTCTCCAACCCTGGAATTTGGCTAGTCCAGATTCAAATGTGCCGAAAATATAAAACGCATGCCATTTTTCAATGAGTTGGTGTAGAAAAAAAAAAAGAAAGAAAGAAAAGCAAATTTGTCAGGCAACTTTCATATTGATTACTTATAGAATGAATAAAATACATTATAGAAATTTGTTTACCTCTCTCTTTTTTTTTTTCTTTTTTGAGACAAGGTCTCGTGTACCCCAGGATAGTCTTAAACTCATGTGTGTGAGAATAACTTTGAGTTTCTGATTCTCATGTTTCCCACCCCTGGTTTGCTGGAATTACAGATGTGTGCTACTGCATCTGGTTTATGAAGTGGTGAGGATCAAAAGCAGGGCTTTGTGCAAGACAGGCAAGCACCCTAGCAATGGAGCAACATCTCCAGCCCTTACCTATTTTCAAAAGGTGGTCCCTCAAACATTTGAACTTGAGTATATCACATATTTATATTGGACAACGTAGCTGATATGACTCAGAAGAGAGACCCCACCCTAGAGGGCGCTGAAGTCCAATGAATGGGCAGAGGAATGAGACCAAACTAGAGGAAAGGTGGCCTTTCCCAAGGCCAGTGCCAGGATCTCCTGTGTGAGCTCACAGTGGGCTCATTTGGACTCTGTTGATGGACTTTTCTTCCCTGATCTCCAGCCCTACAAAACTGAAGTGTGTATGTGTGTGGGGGGGGGTTCTACCCATGGCTCTGGTTAGCTTTGGCTTGGGATTCACTTCTGAGTGGTTCCTGCTCTCTCTGATCCCACGTGTGGAATCCACTTTGTACATTTGTAAGATGTTTGATGTGAATTTGATGCCCCAGTAAGGTGGGGAGGGCTACTAATTCTATTAGTCTGTTGACACAGAGATGTCAGATTCAGCATGGTGGTGGATGGATGTCTGTAGTCCTAGCATTTGGGGACAACAGATAGAGGATAGGCGTTCAAGGCCAGCCCAGGGTTACACAGTGAGACTGGACTGGGCTACTTGAGCTCTCTCTCTCTCTCTCTCTCTCTCTCTCTCTCTCTCTCTCTCTCACATACACACACACACACACACACACACACACACACACACACACAAATTTTTTTTCAGGCAATACATTTTATGCGTAAGAATTTGTTTTATTATTTTCCTAAACTGACTGTAGATCGACACACAGATACTGGTGTCGCGCAGGAATAACTGGATTTTGCATAATAGTTTACAGTTTTCAATGTCCTTTTCAGCAAATTATCACTTTTAATTGTCACAACATCTTGTGAGGCAGGCAAGGCATCTATAGATTTTTTCATCCATATGTTATAGCGAAGAAACTGAAAAAAAAAGGGTTGCCTTGACCAGCATTTGAAAGCTGTTAAGTGACAGCGCTGGACGCGGATGGTGGAGGATCGGATGAGATGGGTCGGCTTCTCGTCTTTGGTGTCTTTTCCTTGTCTACACAGGGGCACAGAGGTGGGGCTGGTGGAAAGGGGTTCACAGCTTCCCGAATTCAAGCAACACCGACCCTGTAAAGATTAGGAAAGTAAGGGTCACATACTTCAATATTTGGAAAGGCGCCATTTGGGAATCTGGGGAAAGGACCTACGTGGAGCGTTGCTTTCCGTTCTGTAGGAATGCCTTTGAAGTCCTCCTCTCCGTTAATTCCTTCAGAGACCTCCCTGGGAGCCTGTGTAAGGCAGGCTGGTTCTTCTGCCAGTAGAAAGAGGTTCTGAGTGGCAGGCTCCAACAGAGGGTCCTGGGAGCCAGCTTCAGGATGAGGCAGAGCAAATGCTCGGCTTTTCAAAGATGGACCATTGGTGGAGGGAGAAACCTTGTAAAGGAACGGTGATAGAAATCTAGGCACAGTGGCTCATGGTTGCAATCCCAGCCGTCTGGGAAGACGAGGCAGGAGGATGCTGCAAGTGTTAGAGCAGCCTGAGCTACACAGTGTGTTCAAAGACAGGCTGAGCTGACAGAAAGATGCTGCTTGATCGTGAGAGTTTCCTACCACGATTGAAGATGATGAAGATGATGATGATGAAGATGATGAAGATGATGATGATGAAGATGATGAAGATGATGATGATGATGAAGATGAAGGTGATGATGAAGGTGACAGTAGTGTCATGTGATCTGGACGTGTTAGAGAATCTGAAGCAAGTTTTTACCAATTTTTTTTTTAATTAAGGTTGTTAGTCTTCAGATGTCAGCCTAGAAGAAGTTAGAAGCATGAAGCAGGGTCTGGTCGTGGTCATCTTTGCATGTGTTTGGAGATTGCCATGTCCACTGGCACACAGATGTTGGCAAAGTAGATTCAGCTACTTGTCATCTAGATGCCAGCATACCGTTGCACAACCAAACTTAAATCCAGCTGTCCAACAGAGCGACAGGGAGGGTTACGGGTGACTCAGGAGACAGTCCTATAAGGAAAATAAGAGTCGGGAATGGTGACTCTTTGCCAAAGGTCAACTCGGTAGTATTGACTTAAGAACCAAGAGGCAAGCCAGGTGGTGGTGGCGCACACCTTTAATCCCAGCACTCAGGAGGCAGAGGCAGGTGGATCTCTGTGAGTTCGAGGCCAGCCTGGTCTACAGAGCGAGATCCAGGATAGGCACCAAAACTACACACAGAAACCCTGTCTCGACAAACCAAAAATAAATAAATAAATGAAAGAACTAAGAGGCAGCCCTAACATGACAGTTAAGAGTACTAGCTCATCTGGGCCTAGCAGCCTAGGTCTGTAATCTAGGGAGGCTGACGCAGGAAGTCCAAAGTTCAAAGCTTACCTGATCGAGAGAGTCAGTTCAAGGTCAACCTCGGCAACTTAGTGAGACCCTCTCTCACAGAGGGAGCAGAAAGTGTGTGTGAGCCAGACGACTATAAAGCAAGTGTCTTCTGGACCCCGCAGGGCAGCTGCACGTGTGCGCACATCACAGTTGTGACGTCTCAAGAGAGGACCAATCACAACACGGAGAGGAGGAGTTGGGCATGAAGTCCCGCCCTAGCTGGGGAGATATTGGCATCTGGTAGCTGCTGGAGGAGGAAAAATCAGTTTTCTCTGAGAGTGTAGCCCCTATTAAATCAGCCACACGCCAGTTGGAAGACCGTATATCCAAGAATGTATGGACAGCACAAATTGGACTTGGTGAATGGAGAAAAGAGAGGACATAAAGTTTGGTAGGTAGGAGGAGGGGTGAACTAGGGAGGAAATAAGGGGGATCAACATGATCAGAACATGCTGTACAAAATTCTCAAAGAACAAACATGTGTATGCGTTCTTTATTATATACAGTATAATATATTGCATATATTTATGAACTTGGGTCAAAGTAAACAAAAGGGCTGGGGCCTGGCCAATGGCAGAGTGCTTGCTGAGCTTGTGTGCATGAGACTCTGAGTTTGATCCCCAGTGTCATAAAAGAGAAAATAAAAACAAAAAACTTGGCTTCAGAATCATATCTGATTCAAATGAGGGCTCTGACAAGTATTTGTTCTATGGTATTTGATGAGTTATGTATCTTTCTTTTAAAAAATCTGTTTCCTCGACTGTAACATAGGAAGGAAACGTTTCTTTGGTAGAAGACTGGTGTGTGGAGCGCAATAAAATAGTAGTGAAGCATTTGTAGAGAACTTATCATCCAATAAATAACATGATTAGAACTCGCTTATGTGTATGTGTGTGTGTGTGTGTGTGTGTGTGTGTGTGTGTGTGTGTGTGTGTGTGTGTATGTTTGCATACAAGTGCAGTGCCTGCAGAGGCCAGTGGTTATAGACCCCTCTGGACTTGGAGCTACAGACAGGGCGTTAAAACCCAACATGTGTGCTCAGAATTGAACTCAGGTGAACTCGGGTCCTCTACCAGAGCAGTGTGTGCTCTTAACCTCTGAGCCATCTCTTCCCCCCCCTACTGTGAAGTTTTTGTGGAAGATTATGTAAATGGTATTGTAGAAGATGATTTCATAGTTTACTTATATTAAGTATAGGGCAAAATTAGCTAGCATGTATGAGATGGGGGTGTATAGTATGTGTGTGTGTGTGTGTGTGTGCGCGCGCACGCGCGCTTGGGTATGGAGATTAGAAAATAACTTCTGAGAATCAGATCTCTACCCCAACCCTGTGATCCAGGATCCAACGCAGGTCACCATGTTTGTGCAGCATGGAGCCACGCTCACTGATCCCAGTATGAGCATTTTAACAAGAAGACTGTGAGATGGAGATCAGTGTGGCAAAGCGAGTCTTCCTATGTCTCAGCCACTTTCCAGACCAGGTCAATTGATAACCTCAGATCACCTCAATTCTTCGGCTTCTCTGTCACTTCGGTGACATTTTGCTCACACCTTTGTCTTATTCCTTGGGAAGTAAGCCATTGCCAGCTCTTTACCTGAGTCCAGCTTGTCTTCTAAGTGAATTCCCAGTTCTTTAAGGACAAGAATAGAATCCTGAAAACCCTCTGGCAGAGTTCTAAGCACGTAATAGGTAGTCCGTTAGATTTATTTTGAACGCTTCATTCCCATCATAGCTAGATGAGTTAGTATGTGTCAGCCTGCTTAGGTCATCCTTTCTAGAGGTATTTATAGGCTTCCATAGGGATGAGGGCCATGAACACCATGGGCTACAAAAAGGCCTCAGGTGTCCACAGCAAGCTGATGGTGTGGCCTTGGAAAGCATCAGCTGGCCTTAGTTTACCAGCCAGCAGCTCTGTCCGTGAACCTGCGGACTGTTACAGGCACAGCTCTCCTGGGACAAGCTTCCATCCTTAGGAGGCCGTGAGTCTCTCTGTCTTCCCCACACTCCCCGCCTCCACGGCTGTGAATATTCTGTTCCTCTGCTTCATTTTCACGGGCACCAGAGGTGTGCTCCTGTCTCTGAGGAGCAGCCCCCACTCTGTACAGCCTCAGTCTGTGAATGCACCTCTTTGACAGCTGTCATTACTGAGTATGACTTGTGCCCTTGTGCACTGGACTTAAATGATCTATTTCCTCGAGTTTTTTTTGTCTATCATTGGTGTGGTCGAGCGGGGTAGGGTCCCCCTCATGGTTGTTCTTACTGTACGCTAGAGAGAGATGGTATATTTTTTTTTAAAAAAAAATGTGCTTGGGGCATTCCCTGGCTCACAACAGCTTGTCTCCATAACTAAGGGGTGCCTTCTCATCTATTATCTGTCACTGCTGGGCTAATGACAGAACCCGACAGAAAGAAATTGCGAGTACTTATTATGTCCCATCCCCTGTTAGCGCTGTTTGACTTTCTGTTAATTATCGACCTCTCTGAACACACTTTTGAAAGTGAAGTGGAGAAGGCAGGACATTTCTTACAGTATCCTTGTGAGGGCTCCAGGAGATTATTGGTGAAATTATTAAGGCCACTCCACGTAGTTAAAAGGAGATTTATTTAATGGCGTAACTTACAAATTAAGGAATAGGTAGGTCGCGGAGTCTGGGGAAGGTGTATCACAGTCCAGCGGTGTTCTCTGGAGCTCTGCTCAGTCCACCTCTCCAGTCCAGGGTCCCGCATCAGAGTGAGCGCGCCCGCCGATCCAGATCTCAGGTCCCCCGGCGCCTCCCTTGGCCCCGCCTTGTAGGCGTGACAGTTGCCGAAGTCTCAATGGGGGTTGGAACTTCCAGATCAAAGCTGGAATGGCTACCCACTACATCTCCCCCTTTTTGTCTAAATAAGAAAGTTCTAACCTAATACAAGACTATATACAAAGGAATGGTTATCAAATATTGTCCAGGAATAATGAGGGATAATGACCTAGATAAGATGGAACTACAACCAATGCGAACAATATCAAGCAAGAAACACATACTAAAATCCAGAGAAGTCTGGAGCGTAGGTAAATGGCATGTTACAAAGATCCTTCCAAAAGGTGTCCTATCCTAAAGAACCTGAATCTAATACTTAATATGTTCTATCTACTAAGTTGTAACTATAACTGCTAGTCTTCAATTCCATCAAAGACCTGAGAAGGAATATAATGGTACCTGAGAAATGGTACATGGATGCAAACAACTTTTGGGAATCTTGCGAGAGTAGACGGAGACAGCTGGCAGCCTGGACAGTCATCTAATGTTTCTCAGCATTGTTGGTGTATTTAAATTGGCTACAGGCCTAAAGTATCTGACAGACCATTTTTAGAAGCAGGAATTCTGAAAGACCATCTTACCCTGTCTTGGCAGAGTACAGTGGTCGCTTTCCTTGTGTCCCACTTGTCCAGAAAGGATAGCATTGTATTAGTACTGTCAGCCGTCGAGGCAAGGGCAGTTCTTTGCCCAGTAGGCCATTTTGTGTCAAGAACCAGCAAGACAGATACACAGGACCATTTGTGGCTATTGTTTGATATAGTCTTCTCATGATCCCTTAAGGCAGAAAGTAGCCGAGCAGTATCACAAGTGGACCAGTAGCCCAGTGTTTGCCACGAAGGAGCAGATCTGTGACTCCCCCTCCCCCATCTGAGGCTCCTGGTGTCAGCAGCAACCTGAGCTCTTCTGTCCACTCAGTGTGAAGACTGAGTTGCCTACCTCCTTCTCCTTCTTCCTCAGGCTGGAAAATAGCCACTGTAGAACAGATAAAACACCAACAAAACCACTCAGAGGTGGCAGAGAGGGCAAGGCGGAGAGCTGCTGCCTCAGACTCTAGGCTGACTTCATAGCAGCTTAATCACACCAAGAGCCTGGGCCTCAACCTGGAGTTTTCTCTGATGCTGCAAACGAGTATTGATTGGGAAAAAGCAATTGATTTGTGTTAGGTTTGTTGGAGCAAACACGATGCAAGGTCATTGAAGTTTTATTGTCTAAGTATTTTAAGCTGATGTAAATATCTAGGCAGAGCTCACAGAGGACACAAAGGTGAACCGAAAAGAAGACCAGACTGAGGGGTGAGTTGGGTGCCTCCCATCAGGTGTTCCACGGAATAAGCTGCCTTTCCATCAAAGGCAGTAGTGGGCCCAGCCTATCAAGACCCAACTCAGAGGGTCGACTCAGAAATCTTCAGAAAAGAGGAATACCAAGAGAGAAACAAATGGGTTTTTCACTGCCACTACCGCCACTTTTGCGGAAACCTGGTGAGGTGGGCCTTTGAGGCAGCCCTGGAGGCTGTGTGGTACAGGTGGAACCCGCTGGTTTTTGCATTTGGTCTTACTGTGAGGAAGAGTGCCTCCCTCCTGCTGCTCCGGACCAGCTAGGCCTGCCCCTGTCCCGGGTGACTAGTGCCCACAGAGTGGCCAGAGAACTCAGGCAGAAATGGATCTCAGCAGAGTGGGAATGTATAAACCCCGTGGGGAAGATTCCCCAGGCTGTAAGGTGTGGCTACTTTCTCTTATGGAACCAGATAGCTCCAGAAAGGGGAAATGACGTCATTTTATTTCTTTGTCAACACCCAACACTATTGGGCACTGTGAGTGTTTAGTACAGATCAGTCAGAGAGCTATTTCTCAGAGACACCCCAGGGGCCTCTGACCCAGGCCTTAGGAAGCCCGGTCCCTCAGCAGGGGCAGAGACTAGAGGGCAGCCTAAACCTCTTATTCTCTACTCCATGACAATAGAATGCCATACCTTAGGAACTGTATGCTAAGAAGTTCCATATATTAAGCCCAGATTTCTATGGATGACTTTGGCAAAGCCTATCTCCATGACATCATGCTAACTATGGTAGAGCTAAAGTTTAATTACTCATTTAAATATGGGAGGGGGAGGAATAATTTGGTTAATGATTACTACATCATACACACACACACACACACACACACACACACACACACACACAGAGAGAGAGAGAGACAGAGAGACAGAGACAGAGACAGAGACAGAGAGAGAGACAGAGAGAGAGAGAGAGAGAGAGAGAGAGAGGTCATTTTCAGTTTTTACTATGTTCCCGGAGAGGGTTCCAAGGCAGAGATCCTTTCGGCATCACTCAATATTTTTTTCATGTGTGTGTGTATGTGTGTGTATCTGTGTAAGGGTATACCACATGTCTGTGGGTGCCCAGAAGAGGGTGCCAGATTCCCAGGAGCTGAAGTTGTTTCTTTACTGCCATGCCTGGAAACCATGACAGATTTAGACCACAGGAAACTCTTCCATCCCCAAGGGAGATGTGGCATCAGTCTTTTGAAACGCAGGAAGCCCTTTTGAAATCAGCCTCAAGTGTGAGGTTTTTTTGGGATCCCCTGCAGCTTCTGGAAGCTCCAGCAGCATTTCTGGGCTTTCATGTCAGGAAGAAACGGAAGGGCATCCCATCCTCTTCCCTGTGAGCCCCTGCCTTTATCCAATTGGACACTTAGTGGGCTTTGACTTCTAAACGGTTGAAATTTGATGGGCAAGTGAAATGACCTGGTTGGGCAAAGGCAGGTGGATGAGCTGAATGATTTCAATGTCATCCCTTCCTAAAGTTCGGCAAACAATACTTCTGAACTGTTGACTGTGTCAGCCAAGTCTTTTTGTGTGTGACACAGTGAGTATTGCACATCTCAGCCAACCTGTACTGTTTCCTTCTTCTCCCCCATTCTCTAAGGACTTGGAAGAAGGGAAGTCAATAAATCAATCGGTACCTTGTCCGATATCCATTTCAATGACATCACAGCCCCATTTGCTAAAGATCAGACATTGGTTACGGAAAAAGACACAGACATTTCCATTTCTAATGTGTCTCTGCCATCATGAGCACGAATACAAATAAGAATGGTGAAGTGGAATCATAAACAGTAGTATTCGTGTTGGCATTACAAAAATAAAAAGAAGATAACTATAGAGGGTGCCAATGCCACTCCTCTTTTATTTATAGGATTTATTACAATGATGATAAAGGTGTCAAATGTAAATGTAAATGATAGCGCTAAATAGCGCGCCTTACTATGCGGCACCTAAGCGATCTCACAGGGATAAGGCGCCCTGTCATCACAGCTGTGTTAGACCCAGGGCTGTGGAGAAGAGCTCCAGTCTGAACTCTCCCCTGCAGAGTGGCTCTTGGTCTTCTCTCAAGCACTGCCATCTGTGAACTGCTGTGGGTGGACCAGGTGATCTTTAGGCTTGCTTCCAAGTGTGAGACACTCTGCTTTTGCACCCTCTCCAAAGTGGCTTGGGTGCGGTGGCATTAGGAGGACACCTACCCTGCAGCTGCTGGTGTGCTCCCATGGGAGGACAGATTGGTGTCTATAGAGAGGCTAGTGTTGTGTGTGTGTGTGTGTGTGTGTGTGTGTGTGTGAGAGAGAGAGAGAGAGAGAGAGAGAGAGAGAGAGAGAGAGAGAGAGAGAGAGAGAGAGAGAGAGAGAGAGCACTGACCAGGGAGTCACACTGGGCACAGGGAACGTACACTTCAGTTTGTCGCTTTCCACTTGACCCTGGATTTGTGTTCTTTTATTAAAATGTTTAGTTCGCATACAGAATAGTGGATTTCGTCACCACCTTTTCACACACACCCAGCACAGTACTTCTCATCCGGCCACCCCCTTACTCCTTGTCCTTGCTTCTCTTCCAGGCTGTTCTTAAAACAGGAGTCGCACCTTGAAAGCTTCTAGATCCTCCCTGAAGTCCTTGGGGTCAGGAGAGAGGCTCTGATGCTGTTATTCTTGAGGCAAAGCCTGCAGATCTTGGTGCTCCAATTTGTACTGAGGTTACATAAAGCTCCTGGGAATAACGGGCTTGAGAAAAAGAATGGGAAGGGATTAGATGACGTAGAGTATTTAAAACAAGGCTTAACCTACGTGGGACCACCATAGTATGTACGCATGCAGGTATGAGTGTGCAGGAAAAAAAAATACAGTATATCTGCCTCTGAACATAGGCAATCTCCTCGCCAGCTAACACATTCACCTCTGCAACAACCGGAAATGAACAGCTATCCGGGCACTGGGCTCCCTCCTCCGCTCCAGGCTCAGGTCCAGTCGGCAGGCCATATGAGGAAACTACCAGCGGAAGGTGCTCCAGGTGGACTCTGGCAAGCCGGATGACCCTAGGCGGGGACCTAGTAGACACAGCTGCCTCCCTAGCACCTTGTCTTCGAGGGTGAGCTTAGAAACCATGTGGTCGGCCTGTGTCCCTCAGAAGCACTCGGCCTCCCGGGTAACCAGCATTTCCCAGCACAAGCAATTAGCTGTAAATAACACCAGAAGCACCTACTCTGTAAACGGCGGCGGCTAATTGGTGTCCACCGCTAGCCCTCTAACGCTAGGGGCAGCTGGAGCCTGAACTGTTGGGAAAGTGGTAAGGCCTACGGAAGATCCTGGGTGCTGTCTGAGGTGGGAATGGCGTATAGGGGGGTTGTTACAACCCTGACACACGAGTTCGGAGGCTTTTCTTAAGTTGCCATAAAGTCAGGGCCACGCTCCGAAGAGCTGATATGCCCAGTATGCAGAGCCCTCTTCTCTGCCTGGGATCCCTGGGTAGTCCGCATATATCATCCTAACTCCTGTTTCCCTGCGAGACCTGGGCAAGGTGAATTCTCCGTTTCCGGGCTTCCGCGCCCTTTTTACCGAGACCCTGGAAGCCAAGGTCTCATAGGTGAGCAGAGGAGGCCCCAGCCAGCCGCTGTCCGTGTCCCTGGTCTTGGGTACTTTCCTCTCTTCTCTTAGATGGGAGTAACGCTCCAAAACCAAGTCATTTAGGGCGGAAAGACTAGGGTTCCGATTAGTTTCAAAGCAGAGGGTGTTAGCAGGAGGTCGCTAAGCTCATTTAGGGGTGTGGCAGTGCCGCTGCTGCAAAGGTTAGCTCTGAATTCAGGTTAGTGCAGGGCGCGCTCTGCTGGGTCAAAGCAGCCCTCCGTTCTGCCAAAGGGCCAGCAGCAGCCGGGGTCGGGCGCAGTGGGGGATACGACTCAGGGTGATCCGGGAGCCGATTGCTGAGTTGGTCAAATAAGCAAAGTCTAACCCAGCTCCACGGAGCATTTTCTGGGGAATGCGCTGATAGACTCTAGCTGTCACACACCTTACCGAGTGAGGGAGGGTGGTGGAAAAATGAGGAGTAAAGGTTTGTTCCGCCCCTGAGCATCTTGTCCTCGCTTCCTGCGTAGGCCAGGCCAGTTCTGCACACACACCCCCTCCCGCGCGCGCACACGGCGCCGTGAGTCTCACCTGTTCTCTCCCGACCCTGCTGAGGTCACCACAGGCGGACCCCAAGACCCCACGATGCTTTCTGCAGAGGCAGGGCCTAGCCAGAGCATCTGAAGGTGGGACTGGGGCTCAAACTAGGGATCAGGCTCCAAGAAAGGAGGGAGGAGGCAGGCCCTCTGGGTGTCGCTAGCTGCTTTCCGGGAATCCTAGAAGGGAGCTGCGACCTGTGAGTTAAGTAGCCACTTCGCCTTTCCTGTATAGGTTACTCGTGGGTCAAGGGCGCCACTGAAAACAGCAAAGACCATTTTGAGCCACCCACACTTTATTGCGGTAAGAGACTGAACCCAAACTTTGAGACTCTGTGCCCTTCCAGCCTTACTTCAGGTTTCCCTGGGCGGACCGTGGGGTGCAGTCCGGGTTTAAAGGTCTCCTCTGACTTTTCAGAAAACGCTCACGATTTGGCAGACCGGAGTTAGAGACAGACTTTTTAAACTTACCGCCCCACCTTTCCCCGTTAGTGCTGCACGCCCCCTGTCCGCCCCCCCCCCATCCAAACACACCTTCTTCTAAGCTAACCCCTCCCCAAACTTTATAGGAATAGGGTCATTGGTGCGAGAGGGGACTAACTTGGTCGTCTGTAGCGGAGCCGAAATAACAGCGCCGAGGAAGCGCTTTTGTGAAATGTTTTTTCAAGCTGCTGACGTGCGGGACACCGAGGAGCTCTGCTTGTCGGCGGGAAAGATGCCCAGCTTCTGGCGGAAGCGCCCAGCTATGTGTGTCGTTGGAGTCGGTCTGGTCTCCGCGTCCCTAGGCTTAAGGCCCTAGGACTCTGGCGGGGTCCAGAACCAGGTTTCTGAGGAAGCTGGAGTGTCACATTAGTCCTCTTGCTTCTTTAGGCCTGCGCGACCCCACCGCCAGTCTCCCTCCCCTGCCTCTCCATCCTCCCCTCTTTTCTCCGGTCCCCTTTCCACCTCCCTCCTCCCTCCCTCTTGTGGACAGGTAGCCCCGAAAGTGAGACACACGGGAGTGGTGAGCGATCTAGGGGCTACCACTTCTGGATTTAGGATCCCCAAGGATCCGGAGACAGGAGGAGATTCAAAGGGGCGTCCGCGACTCTTTGAAACTGGGGCATGGTTTACTTCCCCCAGGACGGCGGGGTCAGAGGGAGAACTCCCAGCACGGGGCTCTCTGGGACGGCTCTTTGAGCACGTCAGTTCGGCCACGGGATGCAGAACTGGTGAGTGACACTTTTGGTGACGACTACCAGGCTTGGCAGTGCCCTTTTCGGGTTTCAAGATGACTGACTCCGGAGGCTGTTGGGTGGCCGGATCGCCCTGGCCACTGTAGCCTCGCTCGCCTCGCTCTTTCTGGACATTAGGGTGTTCTTTCAGAAATAAGAGTCCAGGCTTCTGGCCTGGGCCCTTTCTAGCCTTGGATAAGCCTTTATTTGTGGCCATGCTGAGGGAACTAAGGCTGCCACATCCCGACGCCCAGCTCCACGGAACCACATTCACAGGCTGGGTCCCCCTTGGTCTCTAAGGTCACCCCTCCCCCCCGACCACTTGTCTGAAATTTACCAGATTCCAACCTTAAGGCAAGAAAAAAAGTGTTTCATATACAAACCGATCAGGGTATTTGCAGATAATTGCGAATGTCAAATACTCGGGCGCGATGACAAAGTGCAGAGATTGCCAGGGCCGGAGCTGGCCTGCAGGGCGGGGGTTGCTGGGCAGCCCCACCACCTCAATCCTGCCCAGAGGCGGGCCTTGGGGGCGGGGCGGGAGTGTGTGTGCGTGTGTGTGTGGGGGGGGAGCACTCGCCAGCATCTGCCCACACTCCAATTAACTAAGATTTGCTTCTTAGTGCTAGCACCCAGGAGCTCATTCATGTATCCATTCACAGCTGGCTCTCCCTAGCTGGCGCAGCTAACAGGTGAGCCCAGGGTGAATACGGCACCGGATAAGACTGTCCCCTTCACTCTGTGGTCCCTAAACTTGAAGTATACAGGCGCCGGTTTCCGGGCCTCAAAGGAAAGGCGCTGCCACTTGGGTCTCCCACGGCTACCCCCGCTGCTGTTGCACCCTATTCCTAAGTAAGACGTGACACGGGAAGGAGACTCACCGGCCACTCTGGTAGCAACGACTTTCTAGTGCCAGAGTTGGTTTTAAACAGAAATGGAGCGGAGTCGGGGAGGAAAAAAAAAAAGACAAAACTCTACCCTTCTTTGCCCCAGTAACTACCATGGTTGCAAGAGGCCTTGGGGTACCCCTGGAGGAGACGTGTATTTAGCCTGCCAAAATGGACCCTTCCAGGGTCTCAGCAGCAGCCAAAGGCGCTGTTCCTTACTGCTTTTGGTCAAGCCTTCCCAGATTCCCTCTTCCATGAAGCAAGCAGAAGCAAATCCAATGTCTCAGGCTCCTCTAGTCTTCCTGGCGTGGGGCTAGGCGTGGGGATGGGAAGTAGTCTCACTAGATTTAAAAAAGTACTGGCAATCAGGTGTCTCTTGCTGATGACACCGTGAAGCTGGTGGTCGAGCTGTGGCTTTTTAGAGGGAGGGGTCTGAGATCTCGAGGGTGGCAAGGACTAGGTTGTTGGTCAAGAGGCTGGAGGTAGAGGAGGGAGGAACAGTAGATGAAGACTCCCCGCTGACCGCTTACCACAATAACCTACTCCACCACACCCAGGCTCCTGAGTCCAGGAGTTCTCATCCAACTTTGTGGGGGAAAGGGAGTTAGCATAGAGCTTCACCCTCCCGACCCCTTTCCTTTCCGAGAGCGGAAGACTTCGTGTGGAAAAGGAAGGACGGAGAATGTGTGTGTGCATGGCCGCCGCCCTAAAAATGTTGCATTCCATTTTTTCTGGAGGTTTTCATTGACAAACTAGAGAGCCGCCAGGGCTGGAGCGGAGCACCTAAGAGTTGAGGGGAGGGAAGGCGTATTGGGGAAAATAGAGAGGCATGTACCCCACTTCGCAGTGAGGAGGACGGGAGCCGCGGGTAGAAGGCGTTGGGATCCAACATGTGAAAAGTCCGATCTGGTCCCCGGAAGTCCGATGCCAGCTCCTTAGCCACCAGCCACCAGGAGCGCTCTGAGCATCCAGCCCTTCAAGCTCCTAACCCGGAAGGCTTCGATCTGGCCTGAAATCCTGACTTGAGGTCTCTTGGAATTCAAAGAGCAGCTATCCTACCGGGAGTTCGCCCAGGTCTAGTGAAGGGGGTGTAGGAAGACAGCCAATGTTTTCAAGAGCCTGGGCGGCCAGCGGCGCCGCAAGTGTAGGATGTGATTCTATTTGACTTTCCAAATCAAAGTGCATTGATTGGCGCCTAAAGAGTTCACGGCACATAACTGTCTTAATTAAACCTGCTGTAAACAGACAAATCACGTCTTGCTCTTGCACAGAGAACGTGGGGAGGTAGCTGAGGGCCTGGCAGAGACCAGGCTTGAGGGATGCGCTTAAAAAAAAAAAAGTGCAAAGGAGGCAAAACCAGAAAAAGAACCAAAGTGGATTTTCTGCATCCCAGAAAACAGATGAACCGAAACAAAAACTTAGGATCGCAGGGAGTTGTGAAGGACAGCCAGGATTCCCACTGCAGT